CACATCTTATCATAGTAATATGTATTAAAGACATGTTGCAGTGTTACAACTCTGATTTCATTCTTACAATGCTGACGCTGACGTTATTATAGCCCAGGCCTATAGCATGATCTTATCCAGCGTTTTGTACCATAAAAAGCATCAGTTGTTAGTTGCACTGCTTATACCCTCCACAATGTCTCACATAGCAGGCTTATTATTATTAGAGTTATTACTGCAACTGACAAAATGACAACAAGTTATTATTATTAGACTTATTATTTTTAGAGTTACTGTCATTAGTTATTACTGCGACTGACAAAATGCCAATGTTGTCCAACTCTGCTTCATTGTCTGAGTAAATTTTTATGATTTGTGTATTTTTTTGTATGCATGTGTGTATTAAAATATATCTGTAAATTTATGTGATGCTTCCAACTCCCAAAGACAAATAAAGGTCAGATTTATAAAGATACTGATAATAAAAGCAATAATAATGAAACTAAAAAAAAAAAAAGAGAGGTATTTGACTTATGTCAGAACTGACTTACAATGGAGTTGTTGGAACAGAATCGGTCGTAAGTCGGGGACTACCTGTATTATTGCATTTTTGTGTTTACTCTGTTAGAGGAGGGAACATGATGAGTGAATAAAATATAATGCTGTCTTAAGTAATCAGAAAGTAACAACAAATTTAAACATTTCCAGCCACTGAGAAGGGACTGGGTAGAAATGAAGAAACAAGACGAAGTGAATGAAGGTAATAAAAAATGGTGAACTCAGAGATGGGCACTTGCATGTCCTGCAGACACCGTGGGGCCTGCAGGAAGACAGCCAGGAGCACCACATATCACGTGTACTGATAAACCCTGGGCCCACTGCTTCTGCTGCTCTCTGACGGGCTCAGGCCCTCTACTACATTATGTCCCCAGGTCAACACGGAGGACTGAGCAGGGCTGATGGCAGCTGCTTATGGGCAGAGGTCACTCTGATCTGTCATGGCTTCACCTGTGTGGTTGGTGCCCAGGGCATATTAATTGTTAAAATGCTTATACCTCTGGAAGAGCCCTGGTGGCTCAGTGGATAAAGCGATTGACTGCTTATTGAAAGGTCGGCGGTTCTAACCTACCAATAGCTCCGCAGGAGAAAGATGCAGCAGTCTGCTTCCATAGAGATTTACAATGCTGGAAACCCTGTGGGGTCCCTATGAGTCAGAATTGACTTGACAGCAGTGGGTTTGGTTTGGGTTTTTTTAATTATACCTCTGGAAACAAAGTTTCTGGTGAATTTTCAAAAAATGTACAATTATTTATTTTCATATATGATTTATTATAAATATTACATAACTCTTGTAACGGTTACACGCTCGACTGCTAACCGAAAGGCTGGCAGTTCGAACCCACCCTGCATTTCTATAGGAGAAAGACCTGGTGTTCTGCTCCCGTAAAGATTACAACCTAGAAAACCCTATAGGGGCAGTTCTACTCTGCTAAATGGTGTTGATATGAGTCGAAATCAATTCAGTGGCACCCAACAACAACAACAAATCTAAAAAAGGATTCATTTATTCATTTCATGAATGTGCTCATTCATTCATTCAACTGATATTGACTATTATAAAGCAGCCTGTGCAAGGCACCTGGGTTGCAGAACGAATACTAACATAACCCCTGTTCTCAAGTTGCCCACAAGCCATTGAGTCATGGCAGTGGATGGGAGTTGTGAATATCCCAGCATTTTAGGGAGGCAGGATCAATGAAAATCCTGTTTCAGCATCTATTCTGACACTCTGGCCCTGAAGGTTTTCCTGTACTACCTAGCACTGCGGGAGGAGTGTTTTTGTTCAACATTATTTGCTCTCCTGCACATTTTCCAGGTTCTTAACGGCAAGTGGTCACATCAGGGGAGATTTCTTTCCGTCTTTACCTACAATCCTACTTGACTTCCACAGGCCCCACCTCCAAGTACTCTAAAAATAAAAGGAGAAATACGTTAAGTCACCAAACCAAAAAAAAAAAAACTGTTGCTATCGAGTCAACTCCAACTCATAGTGACCCTACAGGACAGAGCAGAACTGCCCCACAGGGTTTCCAAGGAGCGGCTGGTGGATTCAAACTGCTGACCTTTTGGTTAGCAGCCGTAACTCTTAACCACTGCACCACCAGGGCTCCAAAGTTATCAGAGGTAAAGAGAAATCAGGATGCTATTACTTAGGTTAGCTGTGATTTGCCATCAATTCTCCAATTTAATGGAATTAGGAAGATTCATTCAACAGCTTATTAAGACATTTTCACTGTGTATATGCCTAGTCAACCAAACGGTTCCCTCTTTATTATCACTGATGATATCTAATCATAAAGTACTTAAGAAAGAGCATTCACTCAGAATCTTAAATTGGGTCAACATTTCTGAAACTTATCATAGAGAAGACTATCCAACTATTATTATATGTTGATTTGATCCAATATAAACTTCAATTATTTCAAAACTTCCTTACTAAGTGTAGTTCTAGCTGTTACATTTCTAACACTCCTCTCCCTTTTTTCTCATAATAAAACCCTTATTTTCTTTTGAAAACTATTTCTTCTTCATTCCAGGGCTGTTATTAAGTGAAGCTGACTCTGCCCCTCAGCAACTGGGGTAATCCCATAGACAAAGCTGATCCAATTAGAATCACCCTTGCTATTTTGCTGGAGTTATGAGAAACAAAATCCCTGGGTGGCACAAATGGTTTACACTCCACTGCTAACCTAAAGGTTGCTCCTTCAAACCTACCCATCAGTACCCTGGAAGAAAGGCCTGGTGATATGCTTCTGTAAAGACAACAACCAAGAAAGCCCTATGGAGCAATTCTACTTTGTAACACATGTGGTCGCCATGAGTTGGAACTGACTCAAGGACAATGGGTTTGGTTTTTGGTTTTATTGGGAACAAGTTCTCTGGTTCATTAGTATCTTTAGCGTTGAAGATTGCCAGGGGCCACGTCTGCCACCAAAGGAGTCTACACAAGCATGGAATCAACACTGAAGGAGGCAAAGCCAAGACATAGAGAGAAAGATTGTTCAAGACATTGGTTGAACCCCTGGATGCAGCAGATTGGGTTCTCAGGCAACAGATGCTGAGACAGCTTGGGATAAATTTTTATTAGTGTTCAAAACCTATGAAAGGAAGAAGGAGGAAGAAGAATTGGGCCGAGAAAGAAGAAAAAATGTAATGTGGCTCAACAAAGCCTTAGTCATGCTGGCAGGACGCTCTAGAGTGAATACTACCCAAAAGAGTTGCCCAGCATTGGGCAGAAAGAGCCAAGCCTTTCCATGTCTTGCTCAACCACAAGATGTTGGCTAGGTGTAGGGTGTGGCCTTACGCAAAGTTGCTCTGTGCAGATGCAGCAGACAGAGAAGGAGCTGACAGACAGAGACCATCCATCAAGATCACTCACCACAGTTCCAAAGCAAGTCCTTCTGGGTGGTGTATATCTGTGTCGACCACAGAGCTGTACTAGAAGCTTCTTGAATATCCCAGTTATGTAAGCCAGTAAACTCCCTGTTTTCTTCAAGCCAGTTTGAGCTCAGTTAATTTTATATGCAATGAAGAGATTCTATGCTTCCCTTCAAAGTTAAAGATCCTATGAAACTTCAAGATTCCTGCAAAATGTATACTATGAAAAGTAGCTTCTGGAACCCATTTAAACTCATGCCAGCCAACATCATGGTAATCACATCCGCCAGTCAAGTCCCAAATCTGCAGCATCCAGCTGGCTCCCACATTTCAGGTGGCTAGAAACCAAAGATGGGAGATGTTTGTTTTATTGGGTTAAGGGTTTTGTGATTAAGATTGGTAGGTCATTGAGAAAGAGGGCTTTGGTTTTTTGTCACAGTACAAATAAAGTCTAGCATATTTTTATTTGAATGAGCTCTACCACGATGGAAAGCAGACTCCTCAGTTTTACCTCTGGTCAGAAACATCCTCTCTAACCTGTTTATCTCTCAGTAATTCTCATCCTCTCAATAACAGTATGTGTTTGTTTCTCTGAGTCCAGTGATTTATATATTAATAATGCCCTCTTTGTTCCTAAAAGTGACCAAATTTGCAAAGGGAGCATGAGAGTAAAATCAACACAGAACTCCAGGCTCATACAGAACAGCAGTGCTTATTAAATTATTTTTGTATGTGCTTAAGTTCATTTTCACTCTAGATAGCTATTTTGTCAAGCTGCTGAATTTTGAGTAATATTTCCATTTATACCAATATATATTAAACATGCAATTCCAACACTCCAACGAAAATGATGTATGTAAGAAAATAATAATAATAACAAAAAACAAACCAGTTGCCGTCGAGTCAATTTCAACTCATAATGACCCTATAGGACAGAGTAGAACTGCCCCATAGGGTTTCCATGGAGCGCCTGGTGGATCTGAACTGCCAACTTTTTGGTTAGCAGCCAAACTCTTAACCACTACGCCACCAGGGTTTCCAAGATTTTGTGTGTGTGTGTGTGTGTGTGTGTGTGTGTGTGTGTGTATATATATAATTTTATATGCACACATATACATACATGTACCATTTTCATATATACATATACTATGCAAACAGAGCCAACAGCATGTGTTAATGAGCATGTGTAGGTGTGTGAGTATGAGTGTGTGAGAGTGAGAGAGAGAAGGGGAGGAGACTGCAAAGACCTCAACGTGTGTCATGGTGTAAAACGAAATAACAAATGATAATGGTGTCAGGATAAAGCGTTGTTCAGCAGTGGTGGGTAATCAAAATGAATTTGATCTCTCTTTCCTTGAAAACTCTCCTTGATGGAATGAGTTAATTATGTTTCTAAACTTCTCTGGATGGACTATCTTTTGTAGGGTTTCTCATATTCCAACTCAAGTTGACAGAATTCAATGCTGCTCGGGTTATCAAGTGTCCCAGGGTAATTTACAGAAGCAATAACAGTACATATGCCGAGGAACTTGCCCTGAAACTTATTCCATAAATATACACAGCAAAAACAGACCACTTCTTACCTCCAGAGTGAGGCGGGGGACCGCAGAGCAGAACGACTCCCTGGCCTTCACGCACTGACACCGTACTTCTCATTTTGGTTTTAAAATTTTCCAGATCTGATTTGAAAACAAAACAAAACTGAGTATCAGAAAGGACAATAGTATTAAAATTTTTCACACAGAGACATTCTTTTCTTTCGGAGGACAATGCAGAAATCCCTTTTTGGGACCCAAAGGAGAAGAACGCTTGCTTTGAGAGGAGAAAGTAGGATTTTTATTTCTTTATTAAGACTTCTAGAATTCAGTAATATAAATATACACCCATTGATCTTGTGTTTTGTAATTGTGTTGACAATGGCAGGGACTATCCAAAAAGACAAAGTATACATGAACATTAATTAACCAGACAATATGATTCCAAGGAGGAAATGAAATATCTTGCACCGAAAACGTATTTAAGTGTGAATTCCATACGTGCCACACTAAATTCACTAAATCATTGGTAGACTTTTACCTCTAACCTTGCAATGATTGTCAACTCTTCATGAATTTCCTTCCTAAAATATTTTATCTAAATAGTCTAAAATCAGTTTTATTCATCTATAATTTTTAGTGTTATTTTTAAAATGTAGAAAATGTTCACCTTCTGGGTACAAGTCCTCTTTGTTCCATGTCTTAAAGGGTTTGGGGAAAGACATGTATCAAATCAATATAATTCATTAGTATAAATCCATTACCAAATAAACATAAATCAAAGGATAACTGTAACTTAAATCCATATATAAGCTTTTATTTATAGCTGTAAAAAAATACAAATCATTTTTATAATCACCCAAGGCATTTTTTAAGTGTTTAATAAAGTTTAACAAATACCAACCAAAGAAAAAAACTATTTTCATTACCAGTGATTATCTTTAGAAAAAAATTAACTTCTTCCAGGAAAAATCCAGGGTGACAAATACTCACTGATTCATACTCTCCAGCTTAAATTATAGGATAGAAAAAATTCTTTTGGCTTCATTTTTGAAAAAGTTAAAGTCGCTGGGGGGAAAGGAAGAAAGAGCTACTGTTTCTCTAAAGTCTAATTCAAAAAAAAAAACATTCTTGTGAATTATATGCTTAATATACTCAGTGGTATCACTTACTGTATCAGAACAATTGCTCTGTCAATTTGTGAAATAACACACTCACTTCATAGCTCTTAAGGGCTGATATAAATTGCCTATGTGGTGACAATACAAAGTGGGGCTGTGAATGTATTCTAGAACACAACCTGGAAAATTTCACCTTTGCCCTGAAAAATGTAAGAAGCAAAATAATTATCTTCAAACAAATAAAACCACAAACTGTAGACACTTATGAATATTCGAAACACCATGAATCAGTGCATTGGAGGGCTATAAGAAGGCCTAGGGGTTTCATTTTATTGTTTCTGAAAAACAGTATTAAATTGCTAGGTTATAAACATGGAGTCAAGCGATTCAGCAAAACTCGCGTGCATTTGTCCATAAAAGAAGAAAAAACAGTGTTTAAGGATTTGTTTTAATCAGAGGTTACCCTATAGAAATATGATACGACAAAATAGCATTGTATCATTTCAAATCTGTAGTTAAATGCAACATTATCAAAACATTAAGGCCTTTGAAGTGTAACTAAGTTGGAACTGCAAAAGTAGTCCATCCAAAAGCTTTCTAGTGGCTAGATGGGAAAGTACAACATATCACAATGTTACCTATACATGGAAAAATAATTTCAAAAGATTATCTTCTGGTAACCAAATATATATCATCATTACTGCTTTGCTGCCCAATTCCTTGATTTCTTGTGCCACATAATTTCACATTCTGGAGAGTATTCATAACTGATTTAACTAGAATGTGCAAGAAAGGATAAAATAGTTCTATAGAAACTAATGATATCTCCTTCAAAGGTCAAATCTCTTTTGCCTAAGCACAAATTTTGCCTGGCACAGATGCGACCATTCCTCGAGACACTGACATTGATACTCTCCCTACAGTATATCAACAACCAACCAGTTGCCATTGAGTTGATTCTGACTCATAGCAACCCCATGTGTGTCAGAGTAGAACTGTGCTCCATAAGGTTTTTGATGGCTGAGTATTCAGAAGTAGATCTCCATGTCTTTCTTCCAGGGCACCTCTGGTGGACTCAAACCTCAAACCTTTCGGTTAGCAACTGAGTGTGATGAGGTCTTAATTGGTGGAGAATACTGTTTTTAAATACCTAATAGAGCCAGATCATGGAACACATGTATCGGGAATAGCAAATAAAAATAACTGTACGGGAATCAATGTATTTCCAGGGGCTTTTTTGACAGCACATCACTGTGACTGCTATATATTGCCTTCCATAAAGCAGTATCTCCTGAACTCTTAGCATATGTTATCAAAGTGTGGTTCTAGGAATACATCATCATCAACTGCCAAATGTATTTAAAAATTCAGATTTTTCTACAGGTCCTAACACATGGCATAAACACAATACAAACCATAACTAATAATGCACAAACACCAGAAGAAAAACTTGATAACTGGGAGCTCCTAAAAATTAAACACTGATGCTCATCAAAAGACTTCACCAAAAGAGTAAAAAGAGAACCTACAGAATGGGAAAAAAGTTTTGGCTACAGCATATCCAGCAAGGGTATAATCTTTAAAATCTACAAAATATTTCAACAACAAAAAGACAAATAATCCAATTCAAAAAGGGCAAAGGATATGAACAGACACTTCACCAAACAAGACATTCAGGTGGCTAACAGACATATGAGGAAATGCTCTCGATAACCAGCCATTAGAGAAATGGAAATCAAAAGTACAATGAGATACCATCTCATCTCAACAATACTGGTACTAACAACAACAACAACAACAAAGAAAACCAGAAAATACAAATGTTGGAGAGGTTTTGGGGAGATTGGAACTCTTATGCACAGCTGGTGAGAATGTAAAATGGTACAACCACTACGGAAAATGACCTGGTGTCTCCTTAAAAAGCTAAAAATAGAAATACCATATGATCCAGCAATCCCACCCCTAGGAACATACCCTAAATAAGAGCACAAATAGACGTACGCACACCCATGTTCACTGCAGCACTATTCACAATAGCAAAAAGATGTAAACAACCTAAGTGCCCACCAACAGATGAGAGGATAAATAAATTATGGTACCTACACACAATGGAATACTACACAACTACACAACGATAAAAAACAATGATGAATCCACAAAACATCTCATGACATGGATGAATCTGGTGGGCATTATGCTGAGTGAAATAAGTCAATCATAAAAGGACAAATATTGTATGAGACCAGTACTATAAAAACACTCAAAAAAGAAAAAACAACAACAAACTTTGATGGTTATGAGAGAGGGGAGGCATGGGGAGAGGAAATCACTAACTAGATAGAAGACAAATGTCAACTTTGGTGAAGGGAAAGACAATACACAATAAAGGGGAAGTCAGTACAACTTGACCAAGGCAAAGTCATAGAAGCTTCCTAGACACATCCAAACACCTTGAGGGACCAAGTGACAGGGCTGAGGGCTGGGGACCATGATCTTGGGAGACATGTAAGTCAACTGGCATAACACAGTTCATAAAGAAAATGTTCTACATCCTACTTTGGTGAATAGTGTCTGGGGTGTTAAAAGCTTGCAAGTAGCTATCTAAGATACATCTATTGGTTCTATCCCGTCCGAAGCAAAGGAGAATGAAGAAAACAAAAAAACATAAGGAAAATATTAGCCCAAAGGACTAATGGATCATATAAACCACAGCCTCTACCAGCCTGGGCCCAGAAGAACTAGATGGTGTCTGGCTACTGTTATCAACTGCTCTGACAGGGATCACAATAGAGGGTCTCAGACAGAGTGGATGAAAAATATAGAACAAAATTCAGATACACAAAAAGAGATTAGACTTACTGATCTGACAGAGACTGGAGGAATCCCTTAGACTATGGCCTCCAGACCCCCCGCTAACTCAGAACTGACGTCACTCCTGAAGCTCACTTTTCAGCCAAAGATTAGACAGCCTTATATAACAAATGGTAACACACATGATGAACATGCTTCTTAGTTCAATCAACTATACGAGACCAAATGGGTAACTCCTGCCCAAAGGCAAGACAAAAAAACAGGAAGGGACGTGAAAACTGGACGAATGGACATGGGGAACCTGGGCTAGAAAGGGGGATAGTGCTGACACATTGCAGGGTTGCAACCAATGTCACAAAACAATTTGTGTATAAATTTTTGAATGAGAAACTAATTTGTGCTGTAAATTTTTATCTAAAGCACAATAAAATTTAAAAAAATGTATCAGATTTCTGGGAATCACTTAAACCTAGTGAATTAAAATCTCTAGGGGTTAGGTCTAGGGATCTATTTTTTTCATTTTTTAAAAAAATTTATTTTGTTGTTGAGAATATGCACAGCAAAACATACACCAATTCAATTGTTTCTACATGCACAAATCAGTGATATTGATTATATCCTCTGAGTTGTGCAACCATTCTCACCCTCCCTTTCTGAGTTGTTCCTCCCCCATTAACATAAACTCACTGCCCCCTAAGCTTCCTATTGAATCTTTCAAGTTGCTGTTGTCACTTTGATCCCATATGGATAGTTCTTAAAAGAGTAAAATACTAAAGGAAGACATTTGTTTACTAGTTAAACTATAGTTTAGTTTTAAGAAGACTTCAGAGGATATGTTTGGTTTAAGGTTTAACGATCATCTTAGGGCAATAATTTCTGGGGTTCATCCAGTCTCCATGACTCCAGAAAGTCTGAAGTCCTTGAGAATTTGAAATTCTGTTCGATATTTTCCCCCTTTTGATCAGGATTCTTCTACAGAATATTTGATCAAAATGTTCAGTAACGGTAGGCAGGCATCATCTAGTTTTTCTGGTCTCATGGCAGACGAGGCAATTGTTCATGGAGGCAATTAGCCACACACATTCCGTATCCTCCTATTCCTAACTCCTTCTTCCTCTGTTGCTCCAGGCAAATAGAGACCAACTCTCATGTCTTGTATGGAAGCTAGCAAGCTTTTAAGACTCTAGGGATCTGCATTTTTAAG